AATGTGCTGCTTGTGGTGTGGGGGAGGCCCCTGTGCTGTCACCGTGAGGTCCAGTGCATCCCTTTGACACCCAGCGTGCTGAGCACGGGAGGGCTCGGGCTCGGGATCCCAGCCAGGCCTCCTGGGCACTGTGTGCCTTTCCTACCTCTCACACGCCCTCTGCATGGCACACACAGACCACTGAGTGTGTCAGACCACCAGCTCCTCCTGCCCAAAGCAGGGAGCGTAAAAGGGTTGGCAGAAACCCAGCAGCAAGGTGACCTTGCTCTGCCCGGCTCCTGGTCCCCAGCCTGTGGACACTGCAGGGCTCTGACATTTCCCATATGCCGGAGGAAGCAAGCCTGGAGAGGAGAGGAGCGCACCCAGAGTGCCCCAGCCAGCAAGTGGCAAGGCGCGCCTCTTTTCTGTTTTCACCCACTGAGGAGTGAACCCAGGGCCTGACACTCACCCTGAGCTGCCCTGGCCCTTTTCTAAGTTCTCACTAAGTTGCTAAGTTGCCCCGCTGGGTTCATACTTGTGCTTTCCTCCTGCCTCAGCCTCCAGGAGTGCTGGGATCACAGGGGAGGGCAGCGCCCTGCTGCCCCTGGGCTGAGACCCTGCGGACCCTGGGCCTGTCTCTCCTACCCTACCAGTGCCGACCATACTCTGTCCAGGGCCCCTGCCCTCCAGGCTGACCCACAGGCCCTGCTGGCAGCCCTGTGGGGTGACCAGAAGCTCCCTGGGAGTTTGATTAGGCCCAAGAAAAGGTGGGTGTAGGAGGAAGCCATGGAGGAGGCAGGGCGGGTGCCCTTCTCTGAGCTGCTGGGAGGGGAGGCTGTGTCCCAGGCCTGTGTGACCTTGCAGGGGCCCTGGGGTGCAGGTGTCTTGAGATGAGGGAAGTGGCCCCTGGCTGGGGAGGCCTCGCTGTCAGCAGTCGCGTAGGCACCTCGGAGACCGAGACCACATCCGCCCCTCCTCATGCTCCGCCGCCGGTGCACCGCGGGGGGCTGGGCCAGCCACCATGCTTTCTGCCGGCTCCCCTCGGGGCTGGGAGGTGCGGATCACCTGGGGCTAAGCCCGCAGTGCGTGGTCTGGCAGTGAGGGAAGGACCCCGCGGGCCTTATTTGGGCAAAACATGCCTGTCCCTTTCAGAGATGGGGAAACAGAGGCCTGGTCTGTGGTGTTCCGAGCCTCAAGTGCGGGTGAAGGCTGACATTGCTCAATAGTACTCAGGCCTGCCCTTCCGCCTGCTTCGCTGCACACCGCCATCCTGCCCCTCTCCTGGCCAACGACTCCCGGCTCTGCCCTTAGTCGCTCAGGTCTGAAACTGATGGTGCTGGGGCCACACCCAGGTGGAGTCTAGGCAGCAGGAAGGCAGCTGTCACACTGCCCAGCCTGGGACCCGAATCCACGCACTCAGAACCACCCTGCCCTGACAGCCCAGCCCCTCAGCTGGACCGGGAGGCCTCTGGGGAGGGAGAAGCGCACAGGCTCAGCTGTGAGTGGAGCCTCTCCCCAGCGGGGTCTCTGGAGGGGGCTCTGCCCAGCCCACCTAGGGGCCTCAGTTTCCCTATCCAGGTCAAAGTGGTAGAGACTGTCATATACTCCCCAGGGCCCTTCGTTCCCGTCCTCTGGGTGCCCTGTACCTCCTCAGCTCAACCGAGACAGTGGGCTGTGGCTATGGGGCCCGGGGAGCCAGGTGGACTCCAGGCCCTGGGTACTAAGCGCTCTCAGGCTTGCAAAGCGCTTAGCAGGAATACACGAGCTTTGTGGCCTCACCCAGGGTGGAGTGAAGGCTCTGGAAGATGGGCCGGGCCTACTGTCTGTAGGCAAGAGAAGCCTTCCTCAGGGCCACCCTCGACCACACCTGGAAGGGACAGCTGGGCAACTTCTGTCTGAGCTGCTGCTGTTCTTATCTCTCCCACCTGCTGGGCTCAGAATTGGAGGGAGGCCAGGACGTCTGTGCAAAGACCTGCGGGTTCTGCTCCCCCGCACCGGGGCCTGAAGAACACTGGACAGAGCTCTGAGGCACTGGAGATGCTGGGCCTTTGTGTGCTGCCTGCGCTAGCTGAATACCTTGCGTGCCCCAAGGGGTCTGCCCGCTGGACACAGGGACCCTTGGTGGAGTCTAGACAGCCGTCCCCTGCATGCGTGAGGCAGGTTCATTGGGGGAGGGGGTGTGAAACTCCTGATGGCGCGCGCACCTGCAGTGCATGGCCAGCGTCCTGCTGCCTGGGGCTGGAGCGGCCACACCAGCCACTTCCAGGCCTGCTAGGATTGGAAGACAGCACGCGGGTTTTCTCCCCAGCTCTTCAGGTTAGTGGCTGTCCTGGTTCCAGCTTTGGCCCTGGGTCTCCTTCTGCAGTTGCAGCCTCTCCTGGGTTGGCCTACGTTTCCTCCAGACTTCAAGCATCTTCTCGGGGTCTCCCCTCGCTCACGGGAGCTTGTTGGGCTTTGCCGCAGCTCTGGTCCCATCCCATCATCCTTGCCGACTCCGTTTCTGCTCTGGTCAACCTTCAGAGGCTCAGAGCTGTGTATGCCACCGAGGCACAGGGCTCCATTTCCAGCCTCTGTGAGAACAGGGCTGTGGAGACCTGACTCTGCAGCTGGGGAAACTGAGACCTAGAGAAACAAAGTAACTTACCTAAAGTCCCCCCCATGAAGCCGGAACCCTGGGCGCCCCATCCCTCTCCTGCATTCTGCACAGCCAGCCTTCTCCCTCCCCAGCTTCCGGTGACTCAGGAAACTGCCATCCCTGTCCAGAGAACAGTCCGGATGCCCCACCCAGCCCTGCGCCTGCCCTCAGCCCCCTCCTTTTGGAAAGCGAAGTTCTCACATCCCCATCACACCTCACCCATGTGGGCTGTGCTCCTCTCTGTGACCTCTGAGGAGGAAGCAGCCTGGCCACCAACCTGGAGAGTTTCCATTCAGTGGTTGGTTGGGTCCTGCTCAGCCCTGGGCCATGTGTCACCAGGCTTCTGTGAACTTCCGGGTCCTCTGGGCAAGTGCCCAGGATGGAAACCCCAGTCTGCATTCACCCCTCGGATCCTACGCATCCAGGCCTGGAGAGTCTAAGACCTGAGCAGCCCCCTGCCCCTCACCCAAAGACTCCACAGGGCACGTTTGGGTGGCCGTACCAGATCCTGGGCTCACCCAACATGGACTTCTGAAGTGGTCTCTGTGCTCCAGGAGGCCGTGGCCAGACAGGAGACACAGCACTAACCACATGTGGCCATGTCCCGGGAGCCTGGCATAAGGAAGACAGAGAGCCAGGGAAGCTTGGGCTCCTGACAGCGACCTGGGCAGCGTGGGATGGATGTGTACAGGCGTGGTGGGGCCAGGAGGGACTTGTCTTTTGATCTCACAAACTTACCAACAGTTTTTAAGAAGCGGTAAGGTAAGATTTCATTTTGGTTGAGGCAGGCCTTCCTCTGGTCCTACGGGCAGCGGGGGCAGTCATGTATTGTGGTGCTGGGCTTAGGGTTTCAATCTAGATCTGGGTGATTCGGGGGTTCTTAACCTTCTGCTCTGCTGGTCCTCACAACTCCAACCTGGTTCCCAGGCTGGCTGGGACAGAGGCCACAGTATGACCCTGCCCAAAGCCTCAGGGTCGCAATCACCTCGCTTGTAGTGTTTGCCTATAGTGCTCTAGAAAGAGCTAGAACAGATGCCCGGAGCTAGGACCATGGGAGACAGTGCAGTGAGCTGACCACACCGGAGGTCCACTTCCCACAGCCAGGAGCAGGCTTGGGGATGGCTCCCGCACCAGGAGAGGGCCAGGCCTAGACCACAGGGGTTCTTTTTTATGTATTTGGTACAAGGTCTCACTGCACAGCTCGGACTCATAGTGATCCTCCTGTTTTCAGCCTCTTCAGCACTGGGTTTATAGGTGTGCACTACCACACCTGGTCCCATAGCTGGCTCGGTGCGCCCCAGGAGCAGGGCTGGTGTGGCATGTGGCACTAGGGATCAACCGGGGTCCTTGCGCTTGCCTAAGCAGGCGCTTAGTCTGTTGAACTATCTTGCTGGCCCTCTCCAGGGGTTCTTTTTTTTTTGCGGAACCAGAGATTGAACTCAGGCCCTTGCACTTGGCAGAAGCACTTATTCTACTGAGCCATCTCCCCAGCCCCCCTCCCCAGGGGTTCTTGCTCTGTGAAAACTCCACTCCTGCTCACCTTGGCCAAAGGCAACAAAAGGGAGGGGGGTGCTTGCCACGACCAGCTCCCCTTTCCTCCAGCCAGGGGGCTGGCTCCTGTCCCCTGCAGATTCCTGCACTGACAGCCCCTCTGCTTGGCCTGGGCCAGGCTCCGCGCCAGGCTCCACGCCAGCACTGTGGGACAGAGCAGTTGTGCTGGAGGCTCCTGGAGATCAGCCTCCCCAGCCTGAGTGTGCGTCCCAGCCCAGGGCCTCAAGGTCAGGAAATCAGGGCAAGGTTTCACCCTTATAATTGCGTTTTACAATTTTGTTACCATGGTCAAAAGTAATGTTTTTCTTTTTTAATACACAATTGAACATTTTTGAACTCAGGCCCTTGCGCTTACCAGCGAAGCACTTATTCCAGTGAGCCGTCTCCCCGGCCCCATTGCAACTTTTTTCATGGTCTGACATTTTAAAGTTTTTTTTAAGTGGTTCTTAAAACAGGATCTAGAACTTTTTTTTTTTTTTTTTTTTTTGAGTGTTTCCCTCTGTAGCTCACCTAGACTTGAGCTCACTGTGAACCCCAGGCTGCCTGGAACTTGCAGAGATCCTCCTGCCTCAGCCTTCCAAGTGCTAGGGTTACAGGCGCGTGCCACCATGCTCAGCTAACAATTAATTTAAAATATTGTTCATCTATGAAGTCTTTGTATCGGCTGGCACTGGGTTGTCATGTAGATGCCCCTTCTACCCATTTCTCCTTCTGTCAGACTCAGCCAGTGTGGGCCAGGGGTTGGATCAAGCCTCCACAGTGAGGCCCGAGCCACCTGATCAAGTCCTGACCCCACCGCTGCCTCCACTTCTCATCTGTAAATTATTTCTTCCAGCGGCACCGAGAACAAGAGCAGCCACCTAAGCCAGAGCCACAGGAGCTGGGGCCCCTTAATAAGGACACAGGTGAGTGGCCCACCCACGTGGTCCCGCGGCACACGAGGTTTCTAGCGCGTACCCAGTAAACTGGGTGTAGCTGCAGAACCCACAAGGTCCCAGGGACGTTACATCAATAGGCGCGTCCTGTCCAAAGCGGCGCAAGTGATCATCCTGACCTGGCCCTCCTTGTTCTAGCTGCCGACGCCATACCTGACGTGTTAGGTCTGTTTCTGGGAAGTATTTCTGAGGAATTCAGGAAACACAGAGCAAGTACAATAGAGCAAAAGCAGGCTAGTAAAAAAATTCAAGCTTAAGGGCCTGAGTTCAGTCCCCAGTTCCAAAAAAAAAAAAAAAAAAACAGAAAATATGTCCCTCAAAAAATGGGTGAAGAGAGAATGGTCCTCCCCGAAGGAAGATGTGGCTGCGAGACCACACTTCTCCCCGAGGGTGTGAAGCGGCCCAGTGGAGGGGAAAGACGGCTGTGCCTCAGGCGCCACCACAAAGGTTGGGACCAGGCCCTGGAGGTAGCAGCTCTGAGCTTTGCAGGCTGAGTCCTGTGGAAAGAGCCGCGTGGCCCTGGTTCCCAGCGCTCCAAGCCGCCTGTGTGGCTCTGGTTCCCAGCGCTCCGAGCCGCCTGCGTGGCCCTGGTTCCCAGCGCTCCCGAGCCGCCTGTGTGGCTCTGGTTCCCAGTGCTTCGAGCTGCCTCTCTTGGAGGTGTTGGGTTACAGCCTGGAAGCTGCCCATGATATTGCAGTAGATCAGGTTCAAGCTCCAGATAAGCAACCCGACCCGAATCTGGAGGTTCTCCAATCTGTGTATAAAAATTTCCTAAAAAAAAAAAATTTCCTGGGGTTGGGGAGATGGCTCAGTGGAATAAGTGCTTCCTTGGCAAGCGCAAGGGCCTGAGTTCAATCCCCGGTTCCACCCCCCCAAAAAAAAATTTCCTGAGCGACATCAAAGACGCAGACTCCAGGGCCTGCCACAGACCAACTCAGAAAGAGTCTCTGCAGCGGGGCTAAGGGCCTGCATTTTAAAAGCATTTTTTAAAATAGGGGTCTCCCCCCACTGGGCCAGTCTGGTCCCCATCTCCTGGACCAAGCTGAGCCACCAATTGAGGGGCATCTGGCTCTCTGGTCACAGCTGTTGCTGTCCACCCCTCTGTCCACAGCCCGGAGCCCAGGACTGAGGGACTCTAGTTCCTCACTGTATCCAGATGGGGCTGGCCACAGGTCAGGCTTCTCCCTTGTCCTTACTTTTCTAGCCACCTTGGCCAGACCCTGCCTAGGACAATCACCATGACAATAAAGCTGACAGCAGCAGCGCCAGCCTCTAACAAGTCCAGCTGGATACGTGGGGGAAGCACTTAATGAACGGTGGAGCCCGTGAGCGCAGCGCCTCCACCGTGAGTGATGCCACACGTTTTTCTTTTGCAAGCAACAGAATAGGGTGGTTGTCAGGAGCGTTGGTAGGTGGGCTCAGTGGGGGTTAGGAGTTGGTCTCCCTGCTGCCCCAACTGTGACCTGAGTGGTCCTGGGCAGGGGTGGGACGCATATGCCTCAGTGCCCTCTGTGTGCTCTGGGCTGTCACAGTGCACCCCACCACGGGGGTCCGAGGATTAGAGAGCATTGTCTTCAGGGCTTTAGAGCAGTGCTGGCCAGGGTGTACCCGGCCAGCACCCCCAGGGCTCTGCACCTGCTTTTGTTATGCTTACTGTTTTCTTTTTCTTTTCTTTTTTTTTTTTTTTTGTGGAACTGGGGATTGAACTCAGGCCCTTAAGCTTGCCAGGGAAGTGCTTATTCTACTGAGCCATCTCCCCGGCCCCTTTACTAACTGTTTTCTGATTGAACAATCCCAGCCAGCCCAGTGGTGGGTGCCATTCTTTCCTGAGTTCACACAAGTAGCTGAGGCACAGGCAGGAGAAGAGTGCAGGCCTCTGTGAGCTCCCAGCTGGTGTTGGTGACAGTGGTCAACGTTCTGGGAAAGTCTCCTTCCTGGTCACAAGCAGCCCTTCTGCACACAGCTGGGGAGTGAGCAGTGAAGCCTGGGGGTCGCCATGATGCACCCCCAGCCCCAGCATGGGATGCGGGGGACCCGGTGGCCCTTTCCACACATCCTGAGTAGGGGAAGCTGAAAACAGCGGCCAGCTGCAGAGCCTTGTCCTGCTCACGGGGTTGCAGCTGCCCCTCGGCCCTGGCTGACAAAAGGGGACCTGTTGCCAACTCTTTGAAATCTTTCAGAAAAAGGTTAGAAATCCGTCTTATTAAAGAACATCTTCCCAGTCGCATTCTCAGTAACTATATGCTGGAGCAGATGTTGGGGTGAGCAAGTCCAACCCTCTGCCCAGCTGTCCCTGTCCTGGAGGCTGCAGAGACCTTCAGGCCCAGCCTTGAAGAGGAAGGAGAGGCCTGGGGAACGTCCTTGCGGTGTCAGGGTTCACGTCTGTCATTGCAGCGCCCCACAACCCCTGTCCTGCCTGCTTTCTCCCTGCAGCCACTCCTCTCCAGTCCAGCGCACCCGATGAGGCGGAGCAGCACCAGGCAGGCCTGGCCAGGCTGCTGCAGCAGCAGGCAGAGCAGGAGAGGTGGGCACGGCAGGTAGGAGCCGCGCCACCCTTCCCCTCGCGCCCCCCGTGATTTGGGCTTGGTGTCTCAAGAAGGGATTCCTTGGGCTGGCAAGATAGCTCAGAGGTCTAAATCGCCTGCTTAGGCAGCTGCAGGGGACCAGGGTTTGATCCCCAGCACCACATGCCGCTTCAGCCCCACCCTCAGGGCAGGCTGAACTAGCCAAAAAAAATAAATAAATGAAGTTGCTGCACACATGTTCATTTGTGGCCACTGTATGCCGGGCACCTGGGCTATGACAGGGGGAGCAAGCAGGTGGCCTCTCTCACCAAGCCAATCTGTGAGCGAGAAGAGTTGAAGCCCACGGTGCTGCTGGGCTCGGCCTTCAGGACCACCAAGTGTTTGCAGGGGACGCCCAGCTAGGGCTGGCCAATGAGCTGTGAAAGAAAAACCAGTGTCCTTTCTGGCTGAGTGGGGTTGCTTATTTAAGACCCTCGAGGTGTGGAGCATGCCTGTAATCCCAGCACTTGGGAGGCTGAGGCAGGATAGTCACTGGTTCAAGGCCAGCTTGGGCTGCTGAGAGCCAGTCTCAGGAAAAAAATGCATACATAAAGCGGAAGGGTCACAAGTTCAGGTTCAACCTGGGTAGCCTAACAAGGCCCTGTCTCAAAATAAAAAGAGTTGGAGTGTAGCTCAGTGATAGAGCCTCTGCCTGGCAGATCCACAGCCCTGGGATTCAGTCCCCAGGACTGAAGAAAACATGATGTGTGGGTGGACACAGAAGGACACGGCATACTCTCTGCCTGAGTCAGATGTCAGGGTGCAGAAGATGGGGAGGACAGAGGACACTCCTGGCTTGTGATGTAACCACCACCAGCAACCACAGCCGGGATGGCACCTTCTTCACACCACTCTGTCACTCGGCCTCCCTCCCATGCCTCGGCCTCCTTCCCGAGCACGAGGATGAAGCAGCAAGCCAGCTCTGAGGATGTGTACGAAAGTCTGCTCTGGATCCTCTCATTCACTCTGTTTAACGCGTGGGTGAAACACACTTGTTGTGGACCTGTGAAATCCTGAAATGCAAAGTCTCTTTATTTTTTGTAACAAGAAACATTTCTTTTTTATTAATTTTATTGATACACTTTTTGTTTTGTTTTTTGTTTTGGCAGGAATGGGGATTGAACTCAGTCCCTTGTGCTTGCCAGGGAAGCACTTATTCTGCTGAGCCATCTCCCTGGCCCTGCAAAGGCTCTTTAAAAATGACTTCGTCACTATGAGCATAGCCCAGCTAAACTGCTGCTGGGAGACAGGAGCTGGCCCCCCGGTACCGGGTGCTCGGGAACCCCTTTCCACTGGGCCTTGGCTCTGGTGCAGTATCGCCTGTACCCCTGCAGACAGTGCAGGGCTTGGGAACAGCTCAAGTGAGAATGGCTGGGCCCAGGCAGCCTGGAGGAGACCAGGCTGGGAACATCAGGAGTGGGAAGACCTGGCTTGCAGAACCCAGGGCAGAGGCAGGACAACAGGGAGCGTTGGAGGCACAGGTGCCAGTGAGCCTGCCTGCAGTGACAGTGACAGGGGAGCTCGGGAGTCCCTTGGTAGCTGGTTGTAAGAGACACTTCCAGGTCCTCATCTCCTTCCAGGAAGCCAATATTTATAATCCCAAAGTTACGTTATTGGAATCCCATCAAGTTGATTCCAATCTACCACTTTCAATGCAACCCGCGGTGAAAATAAAGACACTAAATTATATTTTCAGTCATCGGGGAGTTGAGGGGCTCTAAGTCCTGCCATGAAGATGGCTTTCCGGAACCAAGAGAGTGACCCAAGACCTCATCCGGTTTTATTCAGTGGAGGAGTGGCTTAAGGAGGATTGACTGAGAATTGTGGGAAGTAGGTGACAACTATGAGCTGGGCTAGGTGGGTGGCCAGCTCTGTACCTAACAATACGAGGAAATAGGGTCTGCCTCAGTCTAAATGGAGACAGCTGCTCTTCTTTCAAGGAGAGCTGCTCAGGTGGTCCTCCACAGCTGGTCACTCTGGGCACCGTTTCTCAGCCTGACAGGGCAAAGTCTGCCATGCCTGCCGCGCCTCTGCTCTCCTGCCCACCAGGGCCAGCGGGTGTGGACCTCTGAGGTCCCCAGGCTCTCACTTCCAGGCTGCGGTATCTCACTGCCTCGCCCCCTCTGCCCCCAGGTGGAGAAGGCTCGGGAACTGGAGCTCCAGGAGAGACTGGAGCAGCAGCGCAGTGCCCTGGAGGGACAGCGAGAGGAGGCCCTGCGAGGTGAGCGCGGAGGTGGCACGGGGCCCAGCCAGCACCGGTAGCCTCCTTCCCTCTGTGTCACAGCTGGAGGTCGTAGGACCTTGGCCCCAGTAGGGTGTTAGAACCCATCCAGGGCCACAAGTTTAAAAGTCTGGAATCCAGTCAGCCATGGTAACACTGCCTGTAATCCCAGCACTCTGGGAGGCTGACCAGGAGGATCACAACTTTGAGCCCAGCCTGAACAACTGAGTGACTTAGAGAAAGCTTATCTCGAAATAAAAAGTAAAGGGCTGGAGGTGTAGCCTCAGGGCAGAGGCCCTAGGATCACCCCCAGGACAAAACCAAAACAAAACAGGTATCGTGTTGATTTACCTTACTTGACAGGTGTTTGTTTTTTTTTAAAAGCAGCATCTATGCATTAAAGAAATTGTCAAAAACCTAGATAAATAGGAGAGCTGGTAGGTACCCCCACCACCCCCAATGATGACCGCTGTTAACATTTACAGTTACACCAAAGATTTAGTCAAATAACTCTGGTCTTAAGTCACCAACTGTGGTCATCACAGAAAAATGAGAATCTATGAGTTAGACAAAAAGAGCCTGTAGTATGGAGGGGGAGGGCTGTTCGCCAAAGCTTTGCTGTAGATCTCTCCTGCTTCTTTTTCTCTGTAAATGCGTAGAAAAAACATCTATCCACACAGATGCATCATGTACTTTCTCACTTGGAGCGACACTAGCGCTGCGTCCTTGAGCTTGTCTGGGGGGTTAGTTCCTCCAGCATTCGCATTCACACCTTCATTTATTTCAGAGTCCCCTTGGGCAGTAGGTAGGTCGTTTCAGTAGTTTTGCCACTGTTTATACTAACAACCACACCTGCCCGATGCACTATGTTCTGCAAGCTCTTTTCCGAGCTCCTCCTCTTATCTTGGGGGCACCCCCACCCCCACCCCACCACCCCCTGTCGGTAGGGCTGAGCTTGTGTGCACTGACTGTCCTTAGGGGTGAAACAGACGTATTAACCCTTAGCGACATTAACGCCATCGCTACTGACAGTTCCAGGACATTCGCCCTCCCCTAAGGCCGCCCCACACCCATCAGGCAATCACTTCTCATCCTCCTGCCAGCCTCCGGCCACCACCGCTGTCTGTTGCTGCGCCCCATCCACTTCGGGCACCCCATAGACAGAACTGTAAGACCTGTGGCCTTCACACCCAGGTTTGCTTCCCCAGCAAGGTTCCCGGGGCCCACCTGTCCCTCAGCGTGCATCTACACCCCATTCCTTATCATGGCTGAGTAATACTCCCCTGCGTGGACCATGCTTTACTGCCGTGCATCGGGCCACCTGTACCCCCTGCCGCCCTGAACAGCGCTGCAGACACCCCCTCGCCCGCCCACTCAGGTCCCTGGGTGTACGCCGGGGGGAACAGCAGCACCTCAGCCTTTGCGGCGCCACCTCGCTGCTTCCCACAGCGACCGTATTGCTCTGTGCTCCCACCAGCCAGGCATGCGTCCCCACTGCGACGTGTCCCCACTGCGACGTGTCCCCACTGCGTCGTGTCCTCGCTGAAGTTTGTTTTTCAAAGTTGCTGTCACGCGCATGCGTGTGAAGCGGTCACCCCAGTTTCAGTCTGCGCTTCGGCGACGACGGCTCGGGCTGGGCGTCTCCCCGTGTGCTCCCTGCAGGTCTGGACTTCTTCCTCGGAGGCTGCTGCGTACATTTGGCAATACTTTCGACCCTGAAAGTGACTTTCCCTTGCAGCGTCAGCATTCGCACGCTCTTTCCCCAGAATCAACCCTGTCTCCCTGACAACGACACCCCGCTGGAAACCACAGCCTTGAAAACTAGAGCTCCGAAGCGCCAGCCCGGCCGCCGGCCTGCCTGCCTGCGGCCCCTGCAGCCCGCGCTCGGCCGGGTGCTGCGCTGGGAGCCCGGAGGCCGGCCGGGCTGGGGCTGTGACCTCCAGTGGTCAGGGCGCACTTTTCCAGCAGGGTCTTGTTTCCCAGGAAACAGAGTATTTATCTTTTTTAAAACACAAATATTATTTTACACACAATATTTTACGTCCGGTTCTTTTCCTTTAACCTTCCACCACACGCGCTTCCCAATCCTCTGCTCCTGCGACGCGCGGAGGGCAGGCCCGTGCCGCACGCCGGCTCGCTCGCTTCCGGTGCGGCGCTCGCGCGATCCAGCTGGGGCGCCGCGGGCGCGCGCCTCATTTGCACGTAGGTGTGCCCGCGTTTCTCAGCAGAGCTGCGCGGTCCCTGAAAGAGGAACCGGAACAGAGGTCTGAGCAATTTTAAGAATCTTGAGGGGCTGGGGAGATGGCTCAGTGGTCTAAAGCACCTACTTAGAACAAGCTTAGCAAAGCACAGGGACCGCGGTTCAATCCCCCAGCACCACATGCCAGCCAGCCCTGACCCCTGGTGGGCTGAGCTGGCCACACACATACACAAATAAATAAATAAAATTTAAAAAAAAAAAAAAAAAAAAAAGAATCTTGAAAGAAGCGTGTTGCCACGTGAGCAGGGAACGCCTTAAAATGGAGTTAAAGCCCTTGCGGCAGCGCTTCCAGAGCGCGGCGCGGTACTGACGCGCCTTAGCGACTCTCCTGTCCCCAGCCTCAGGCCCATTTCCTCTACAGCCCCTCTTCTCCACTGCACAAGGGTCTGTGGGAAAAGAAGCCTATTCTCTAATCTTTGATATTATTTTTTCACTATGAAAATGTTGACTGAAGGGCCGGCCAAATAGCTCAGCGGATTAAAGCGCCTGTTTAGCAGATGCTGGGGTGTGAGGGATTACATCCCTGGGGTGCCGCGCAGGCCCTGCCCGCGGGTTGTGCTGAGACTGCGACTCAGACTGGGCGCGGTGGCGCGCGCCTGTAATCCCAGCGCTTGGGAGGCTGAAAACAGGAGGATCGCTAGGAGTCCCATCTGCGGAGAGAGACCCTGTAGACCCTGTACTAAATACATTATTTTTTTTTTATGAGCAGAATATATTTATTGAGAGAAAGAAAGCTCCTGTCCGAGAGAGGGACAGGAGGGGACCCCGAGCGGGTAGTTCCCCGGGAAGCTGTCTTTTCCAGGGACTTTTATAATGTAAAACCATGTGGGGCTAATGGGAACTCTCCACTTAGACTCTGTCTCAAAATTTTAAAAAAAGAAATAATAACAATAATTAAAAAGACTTGGGGGGGGGGCCTGGCCTTAGCTCAGTTGTTTAAGTGGCTGCTTCCACAAAGCTGTCAGCCTCCGGTTGCTGGAGTTCGAACCTCACAACTCTCCAGCTGGCCAAAAGTGCCCTGAAGGCATTCCAGGAACAAAAACAAAAACAAAAACAAAAACACCTTATTCAGGGCTGGTGAGATGGCTCAGTGGTCTAAAGCACCTACTTAGAACAAGCTTAGCAAAGCACAGGGACCGCGGTTCAATCCCCCAGCACCACATGCCAGCCAGCCCTGACCCCTGGTGGGCTGAGCTGGCCACACACATACACACACACACACACACACACACACATAAATAAATAAATTAAAAAGTCCATTTAAAAAAAAAAAGACTTGGGCTGCAGCTCAGTGGTAGGGCGCAAGGCTCGCATGCAGAAGCTCTGGGTTCAAGGCCCAGGAGGAGGAAAAAATCAGTTGCAATGCACAGGGGAATTCGTGTGACCATCTACAAGCAGGATATAAAACAGTCCTGCGCCCCCAAGGCCGCAGTCCCTCTGTGTCCACCTTGTCCCCCGGCCTTGGTGACCCTGGTTTGCTCTCCATGACTGCAGCTTTGTCCTTGGGGAGCCTTTACACAGAGGCAGTGAGGCGAGAGGACACTCTGCGGGCTTCTCCCACTCCTCCGCACCGCTGAGCCCGTTCACACGGCCCGCACGCTCGCGCTCTCCTTCATTGCCGAGCTCTGTTCCGGCCGGCCCTTTCACCTGCTGCAGGGCGTCGGGGTCACTTCCATTTGTGGTGACTACATAGAGTCGTCCTAAACATGCAGGTTATGGGGCTCCCCCAAGTGTCGGCCTCCCCGCAGTACATACACAGTCAGCATAACACAGGCCGCTCACCGGCTGTGCAGAGCGACCCCGCTGCATCCAGCCCCGCAGGTGAGCGAGGCCCCATGCCTTGTTGTCGACACTTGGAATTGTCAGTGTCTTTGTTTAGGCTGGGATATGGGATCCCTGTGGGTTTAGCCTGCATTTTAATAATAACTAGTGGTGTCAAGCATCTTTTCTTTTTTTCTTTCTTTCTTTCTTTTTTTTTTCTTCCTGTGGCTGGGGATGGAACTGTAGTCCCTGCACTTTGCCTAAGCTTGCCAAAGCGCGCCCGCCCTTTGATTTCTTAGTTGCTGGTTGTACATCTTTCTTGGTCAAATGTCGAAATCCTTCTTTAGCTGATTGTTCTTACTGTTGAATTTCGAGAGATCTCTATATATTTTGAATACAAATTCTGCGTATTGACAAATACTTTCTTCTAGTCTGTAGGGGTTTTGTTCCCTTAATAACCTGTTTCCTTCCATTCCTCTTCCTTCTTCCCTTCCTCCCTCCCTCGTTTCCTTCCTTCCCTTTCATTTATTTATTTATTTTTGCTCTGCTGGGCGGGGAATCTAGTTGCTTCCACTGAGCTACACCCTCTGCATTTGTTACTTTTTTTTTTTTTTTTTATACCAGGAATCAAGTTCCTGACCTTGCAGGTGCCTGGCAGGCCCCTGCGCCACTGTGCTGTATCCCAAGCGCTACTTTTTATCTTGAAACAGAGTCTCCCTAAGTCACCAAGTTGCCCGGGCGGGACTTAAAACTTTGATCCTCCTGCCTCAGCCCAGTGCCGGGATCACAGGCATGTGTCAGCACAACTGTGAAATTAGATATTTCAGAAAGCAAAACTTGTGATTTTGATAAAGTCAAATTTATTATTCTTTTATTATGCTTTTGGTGTCATTCTGTGAACACTGCTCAAACCCAAATAACAGAGACTTTCTCCTCTTTTCCTCAACAAATTTATGGTTTTAGACTTAACATTTCAATA